AAAAAATTGTGGATGTTAAATTTATTGTTCTTTTGCATTATGTTGATGACATGTTAATTGTGGGTCAATATTATACTATGATTAACAAGTTGAAATTGGAGTTGAGCAAGTCTTTTGCTATGAAAGATTTGGAGCCGGCAAAGAAAATACTTGGTATGAAAATTGTTCGTGATAGCAAAAAAATGCTAATTTGGTTGTCTCAAGAAAGCTATATTGAAAAAGTTTTCGAGAGGTTCAACATGGATAAAGCAAAGTCGGTTGGTTGTCCACTTGCAGGTCACTTTGAGCTTAGTTCACATCAATGTCCTACAAGTGAGAAAGACAAGGAAGAGATGTTGAAAATTCCTTATGCTTCAGCGGTTGGTTCTTTGATGTACGCCATGGTTTGTACAAGGCCGAATATTGCTCACTCCGTTGGTGTAGTGAGTCGTTTTCTCTCTAATCCAGGTAAAGAACATTGGGCAGCGGTAAAATGGATTCTAAGGTATCTTCGAGCGACTTCGAATGTGTGTTTGTGTTTTGGGAATGGTAAGCCGATGCTTGATCGGTTCACGGATTCTGATATGGCCGGTAATGTTGATTCTAGGAAATCTACTTCGGGATATGTGATGACATTTGTAGGGAGAGTTGTGGCTTGGCAATCTAAATTACAAAAATGTGTTGCTCTCTCAACTACCAAAGATGAATTTATTGCCATTACGGAAGCTTGCAAAGAAGAGTTATGGTTAAAGAAATTTTTGCAAGAGTTGAGTTTGAAGCAAGAAAGGTGTGTGCTTTATAGTGATAGTCAAAGTGCTATTTATTTGAGTAAAAATTCTACTTTTCATTCGAGATTGAAACACATTGATGTGAGATACCATTGGATTCGTGATGTGTTAGATTCGAAATTGTTGCAACTCGAAAAGGTTCACACGGATTATAATATTTTGGATATGTTGACTAAGATTTTGTCAAGGGACAAACATTTGAAGTGTCAAACTTTGGCGGGTATGGTTGATGTCTCCACCTAAGTCGATAGGGGGAGAATTGTTGGGTATACCTCCTTAGTGGAGTATGAGACCCAATTGGTTTATTAAAATATTTAGTTTGATTTGGTGTTGGTTATAATATATTTTTTATATATTATATCTAACTTTGGAGGCCCAATAGGTATTTATAATCACTTTGGTAGCAGCTAGGGTTTTGATTAAAAAGCCCAAGAATTAATAATATATTTATATATATATTGTTTCTTCCAAAAAGGGCAGCGGCTTTTGGTGGACTAGCAGCACTATTATTTTCGGTGGTGTTCATGTGTTGATAAACAAGCAATAGTGTAGCTGCCGATTCATATTTTGGTGAGATAGTGCTTGATCAATTCGGTGGGTTTTGTCCTCGAAGCACTGTTTGGAGCTTTGTTGTTGACAACTTCGACTTAGAAGGCTTTGATTTGGGTTATTATTTTGGGTCTTCTTCAACTTTGGTTTCGAAGACTTTTGTTCATCTATTTAGTGAAGTCTTTCCTTTTGATTATTTGTAATTATTTAAAATTCACCTAAAGGTGACTTTATGAGATCATTCGTATTTCGTTTGTAATAGTTTCAAAACTATTGGTTGATAGTAAAATCAAATTTCGATTCCGTAGACGTACTTCACATTGAGGGAACCATATAAAATTCCTGTATCGTTGGTGATTTAATTTTTCTGCATTAATTTTTATTCTCATTGATTGATTTACTTATGAAAAATTATTAATTTTTCCTACCAACATATAAATATAATCCAAATAGGGGTAGGTTAGAACAGAATGGAGGAAGCAAAATTCGTGTCAATCTCACTTTTTCATCAAGGTGAAAAAAAATTCATACAAGGCATAAAATACGGAGGCAGAGTTGGGCGTAAGAAAATGACAATCGCTATCACATAAAATGTAGGTGAGCCTAAAAAATCAGTTTATATATAGCACCAGGCTAACCTTTTGGGCCTAAAAGCATCCACGTCAATGCAAACCTAGTCACAAATTTGACATATCACCAAGTCGTCAAGGCAAAAACTCCCCCCTCCCAACCTACGCGGTTTGATGTACCAAAATATATATATATACAAAAAAATATCCATGCCTGCATGATGCAGGGTAGATTAATGAAATGAAACGTAAAGATTAATTACAAATTTGATAAAGAGATACTCTCTCTAGAATTTATATTAATTCTCTCAAAATAAGGTATTTTGTCCTAAAGTTCATAGCTATTATTTATAGAAGAATTGGTGTCTAAATTATAATAGAAAGCCTCCGTTTGGCAAGAAAAAGCCCAGGCTTTTTTGGCTAAAATAGCCACAAAAAACAAAATAGGCTATTTTAGCCACAAAAAACAAAACATCAAATCCAACCCATAATCATTACAATCCTCTCTCACAAAAATAAAATTCACCTAAAGGTGACTTTATGAGATCATTCGTATTTCGTTTGTAATAGTTTCAAAACTATTGGTTGATAGTAAAATCAAATTTCGATTCCGTAGACGTACTTCACATTGAGGGAACCATATAAAATTCCTGTATCATTGGTGATTTAATTTTTCTGCATTAATTTTTATTCTCATTGATTGATTTACTTATGAAAAATTATTAATTTTTCCTACCAACATATAAATATAATCCAAATAGGGGTAGGTTAGAACAGAATGGAGGAAGCAAAATTCGTGTCAATCTCACTTTTTCATCAAGGTGAAAAAAAATTCATACAAGGCATAAAATACGGAGGCAGAGTTGGGCGTAAGAAAATGACAATCGCTATCACATAAAATGTAGGTGAGCCTAAAAAATCAGTTTATATATAGCACCAGGCTAACCTTTTGGGCCTAAAAGCATCCACGTCAATGCAAACCTAGTCACAAATTTGACATATCACCAAGTCGTCAAGGCAAAAACTCCCCCCTCCCAACCTACGCGGTTTGATGTACCAAAATAAATATATATACAAAAAAATATCCATGCCTGCACGATGCAGGGTAGATTAATGAAATGAAACGTAAAGATTAATTACAAATTTGATAAAGAGATACTCTCTCTAGAAATTATATTAATTCTCTCAAAATAAGGTATTTTGTCCTAAAGTTCATAGCTATTATTTATAGAAGAATCGGTGTCTAAATTATAATAGAAAATAAGTTAGGAAAGGTAATGCTCGCTAATCAAGCTTAAATTAAAGACAATACGAAAATTACCAAAAATAAAAAGATTTGAGTTAAACTTAAATTTATTAGAAACTAGAATAAAAATTACATATTTTGACAAAAAAAAATAAAAATTCTCGCTTTAAATAGAGTCGTTTACACAAGTAACTAAATACACAAATATTTCCTAAAAAGGCAAAATAGCAAAATTGGAGGCCTAAACATTGAAATTTGGCAGAAATCTATGTACATCATGGCAAAACGATAGATATTGATCGTGACATTATTTTTCATATCATGACCAAATTTCACGTCATTCCGAACACGTGTCAACTTGTGTCTATTAGTACTTTTTGTTTTTTTACCATGTGTGTCCATGACTTTCAAGAAATCTATGGCCAAACACTCTGCATCACTACACCAAGGCAAGGGAGGTTCTGGCTTCCTCTTCCCCAAAACCAGTATGTACACATCACACCTGGCTGAATGGCATGTTTGTCCACATTAGGTTAATCCCAAGTCCATAGAATCATTCTCAACTAAAACAACTTCAAACTCAAAACAGCAATAATGTAATTTATTAAAGAAAACAGTAACAAACCCATATAGAATTTATACTGCTGCCAAATAGGGATGTAATAATGGTTTGGCCTGGTCCATTCGGGCCTGGGCCGGTCCAAGCAGGTCTCGCGGATTCTCGTTTTATGGTGAGCCGGATTGGGCCCATTCATAGGCCAAAAAGTAGAGCCCAGGCCCACTCAGAATAGGGCTCGGGCTCGGGCTCGGGCTCGGGCTCGGGCCGCAGTCCGGGCCTGGGTGGGCCTTTTTTTTTGAAAAAATGAACAATAAATACGTTATCTATGTAGATTATTTATTATGGATAGAAAATAAAAGAAAAATTATATTAGAATATTTTAGTTAAGATTAATAAGATGTTTTGTTTGGCTATGTTTCATGGTGATATTTAAATTTAATTATGTATAAATTATGTTTTTTTAATTATGAACTTATAACTAAAAAAATATGCAATTATATAATTTTTTTTCTTTTGAAATGAATAATTTTATATTTATGAAAATAAAACTTTCAATATTACAATATTAAATTAATTATATAACATTTATTGAATGAATAATTTTTATTTCAAAATGAAATAAAATATTATAAAAATTTATATCATTAAATAAAATAAGTGTAGATTATTTAAAAAAAAAAATCATTCATTGCAAATTGCAATGAATCATGATGTGAGTGGTGATGTTGCATGAAATGATGACATGGCAAGGCCAAAGGGGCAAGGGTAGGGCGGCACTGGCAACCTGCAAGGAAATGACTTAGTAAATGATCTTGGTAATTGATTTTGAGTCAGTGTTATCCCTAACTTAGTAAATGATCATAGTAATTGATTTTGAGTCAGTCCGTCCTACCCCTACAGGGCAGGGGACAGGCATCAACTCTGCCTCCGTACAGAGAAATGGCAGTCTTTTCTTTTTTTTTTTTCAAGATCAACTTTTATTTTATTTTTATTTATTTATTTATTTATTTATTCCAATTATTTAACCGTTGATTGCAACTTGCCCTTTATTTTATTTTTTGTTTTTATTTTTTGAAAATTGACCGTTGGTGGAAGGAGGGCCGGGTGGGCTGGCCAACGGGCCGGACCGGGCTTCAAATGGAAGGCCCAAGCCCAAGGTCTTGGGCTGGGCTTGGGCCTGAGCCTAACCGGGCCAAAACAGGCAAACTTCAGATTGCGGACCATTTTTGCACTCCTTGCCAAATTAAAGGAACCAACAAAAGTATATTTCAGATGCAGTAGATCATATACAAGCCTTAAAAAACACAATATAAACATACCAGGGAAAATATATATATATAAAGTAAAAAAAATCTTGTGTATTTACATTATAAATAAGATACTGTCACCAAAATATACAAATCCAAAAAGTGGAAAAAAACAAAACAAGAAAAGAAAAAAAAAGGATGACCAGCAACCTCTCATGTCCAGTCTTCTTTTATTCTGCTCTGCATGACAAACAATACTACTTTCACACCACTCCACAAAAATAGAATCAGAAATGAGCACATAATTAAAGAATGGCTTTATCATCATCACTTCTCTTCAACATAAGTGTCTGAAACTCAAAGATTGGTCCTTCAAATTTATCATTCATTCAGTATTAAGTGGTCACTTGCCTTTCTTCAATCTTTGCTTCTTCAGTTTTAAAGATGCTTTGTGGAGCCGGTTTCTCAGCTGCCGGGTAAGACATGCGTCGGGCCTTTGTGGGTCCTTTTCCATTCAGCGAAATGGTTTTAACTGCAACCGGTGCTTTCATGGTAGGTATACTAGTGTTTTTACCAGACTTGCTTGCAAGCTGACTCAGTGGTTTCTTAGGGCTTGACTGAATAGGAACTCGGCTTTCCCATGGTCGAGCTGCGATCCAGCGTTCCATCCAGCTCCAACCCCAGTTAGCTGTGCCAAGTTCGGGAGGTCCGAGGATTGAATTTGAGTTCGCCCTCCACTGCAAAATATTGGTGTGTCTCTTTGGTGATTTTCAAGTCAAATAAGCATGCAGATGTCATGAGAGTATACTTATTGCTTGTCACATGGACTCGGGTACAAGTATGCATCTAGAGGTCGGATTCATTAAATCTAGAATTTAAGAGCATGCAGACTCAGCAAAAAAAGGGACATATTTTTATATTTTTAATCTATTATATGAGTAAAAATGGTGTATATGTACCACACTGTTAAAAAAGTATTTTGTGCATTTTATGGAAATTATATAACAATATATATATGCACATATATAATGATATTGTTAAATACAAATATATAAGAAATGTCAGATGAAGAGTATTGGACACGTATCCCACACCCTTATCCAAGTGTTGGGTGTTCGACATAGGTATTAGATCAATTATGATGAGTCCCTGTAACATAGCTAGTTGCCAATAAAATACCTGATGGGAAAAGGCATATGCCAAAGCTCGCTCCCTCTTAACTGCTGCTTCTTCTCTCTGATGTATCCTTGCAAGAATTTCATCCATTGTTTCAGAGCCACCACACCAATCCGCCTGCAGGAATACATCTATGAGAAAGAGAAAGACGGGTATTGAAGTGTTTAAACAGGTTCATGCACTAATCGAAGAACCAAGTAGGACAACTAATATCCAAGTTTGTCAGATATCTGACACATAAAAGTCAGCTGCAGGATCTAATTTTTGTCTTAATATTACACAAAATTTGATGAAGAATAACAAATATTTTTCGACAACTTCAGGACCGCCGGATGGTTGAAAACTCTAAGATTTGCTAAGGGTATATATAAGCCTAATAAGAATAAATACTTCCCCGAAAGTACATCCACTTAGGGTTGTTTGGATAATGGATTCGGGAGGGAATTCAAGAAAAAGGAATATAAATGGGCAGAATGTCATATGAACAAATTTAAAGAATAAGAAAATGTTTGAGTTTTAGTTTCTTGAAGCATGCAAAATGAAGAATCCGTAGTACCAAATCCCATGAAATAACAAACTTGAGAGTGGAGAGTTAAGAGGCATTAACATATGTGGAAGGACAAACCAAAATTTTAAGACATCATCCCATTAACAAATTATATAGTTTGGTACAAATCCAGTAGTTAAACCTATTTGAGGATTGGGGTAACTAGTAGTTTGGATGGCAAAAGCTTTTCAAGGTCTATTATGCTCAACGAAGCATGCGATATGCGGATTTGACAATAATTGAACAACTTCACAAATATGATACTAATGACTCTGGTGCTACAAAAAAAATGTCCATTATGATATAGAATGAAGAATGTGTACCCTCTAAAACTGAAGAAGATTTCAAGATGAGGTAGCGTGAAAAGGTATGCTTTGCAATGTCATATGGACCTGTCGTATCCTTTATAGATTAATTTATTTTCTGTTGATTCCACTTTCAAATATGATTTGCATATATAGGAAGATTTGATTTGTTTCCTCTTAAGTATTGTATTTCAATTTCTTAGGGTTGGTAACCAAGTTAAAACTCAAGTGGAGCATATACACACCTAAATTCTACCATCATTAAGTTCAACTTATCCTGGAAAACCTCTAAGCGAAGCCTAGAAATGAAAAGCACTGTATACATACAGAATTGGGTCTTCTAGAACATTCTATGTATAGCAAAAAAAATTGAATATGTAATTAACAGATAAATGTAAGATGAACCAGTAGACTATAAAGTTAAAAAAATGTATTTAGAATGTATGACATGCAACCAAGGATGAGGCAACAATCTTCAACTCATAGGAGGAGAACTGCCTGTCTTACCTCGAGATCCTGAAGTTTTGCCTCAAGCTTTAATTGATTCTCCAGTTTCTTCTGTCTAATCCGACCTTCTGTTACCATAGAAAGTCTGCGAGCTCTAAGCTGAGCCTGTGTCCTGCTCCACGAATGGAGATAGCTCAAAGTAGTGGAAGTTTGTTTGCTTACAGAACGGGTTTGGGTCAGGATCTGCAATCTTACTATTCCTTTCAAACGACGAAGATTTTTCCTTGCCTAGAATGAAAAAATTAAAGATAAATACATCTCTCAACCAGAAATTTGCATCTATTAGTAGTGAGATGGTGAAATTATATCATCTAACATACCACCAAGAATACTGAAAATCCCCCACTGGGAGTACCTAAGCAACAGTTTAGGTCTAGTGTTTCATAAGAACAAGAAATTGGTAATATATGATAATAAATGACATCATTCAAAAGCCTAGACCTGTTTTACATTGCTCCTCTATGACAATGAAACTATGCCTGCCATAACTACTTAAAATGTAAAAAGAGTGACTGTGTGGTTGGTGTTCAGAGGTTTAAAAGATTCACATTCTCAATTAGTTCCTATTGGACAATTATACTTTGAAAATCAATTGAAAAGTTCACTACATAGCAGTTAAGCAACTTATCAAAAAAAAAAAAAAAAAATAAAAAAAAATAAAATGGGGTCCACATATTCAAGGTTTAGATGAATTTGAATCAAGCAACCATGGGTCACAGGACAATCATGACAAAATACAAAAAGGACTCTCCCCTTGTATCTCTAGGATATGACTCAAGGAGCTCAGTAATGAGCAAACAATTAGTGTCACACAACTTTTCAGGCAACAGTAATTGCAAAGCCCAAGTACTTAAGGATACCCTAAAACTAAGGAAAAGGTGCATTTTTCCATCTCAAATAGATGCCCACCTAATATTCGTATGTGACAGGCTGACAGCAAACAATAGGTACAACCATGGCATCCTTAAGACTGTGTTTGGATCATGAATTGCGGTAGAGATTTCGAAAGGAAAAGAAAAAATATAAGAGAAATATGAATGAAATATAAACTAAATCTCAATTTCCCTCACCTTTTCCAAATTCGTACCCAAATCCATGATCTAAACATAGCCTAAATGATTCTCATCAGGAACCATAAGCTTTTAATATTTATTTACAACTTACTAAATGCATAAGGACCTCAGGGGTATGTAAGGTGACAAATCTCACTCCCCCACAGACTTGTCAATCAAGGCATAATACACATTGCCCAAAGAGACAAAAGCATACCATACAACATCAGTTCAGTAAAAGAACCACAAGACTGTGATGCAAAGTCCCACATTGCCAGGGTATGAAAGCAATGCGTAGTATATAATTGCACTTCTTTTCAATAACTAGTTTTTGGCTACCATTTCTACAGTAGCCAGACAAACATCAAATCAAATGGATAATAAGAGTAGATTCCCTATACTCACCCAAAAAAGAGTAGATTCCCTAACTCCACTGGACCTTACACCTCCACCCCTTTGGAAGGAGGCAGGAGATACTATGAAAGCCAATTGAATATGGCATAGTAGTAGAAGATAGACATACATATGAAAAGTTGCATCATAATAAGCAAACAAATCATGGGTAATATATTGAACGATATTAACATGCACAACTTGTAACTTATATACCAAATATGCCCTGAATGCAGTCTGAATCCGAATCGCTGCTACATCCTCAACTGGAAGACCAAGAAACCTGGGTTTTCCATTAGAAGTACCATTGGCAAACTTTGTAGACTCTTTCTGAGAGTAGTTTTTGCCATTTGTTTTTTCAGACCCTGAAGATCCCTGTCTCATAGTGAGAAAACAGATAAGAAAAGCATTCCTTACACTGAACTGATACATCGCAGAAAATGATTAATCATGTAACACTTAGATGTGTAGCCATGTAGGTGCCTTGCATTGGCTAAGAAAACAAAAGAAGGCAATGAAATAATATTCTTTGCTTATGTTGTCCAGATGGTACCTAAAAAATCATGCTCATAAACCAGTAGGTGAGTAATTTATTTATTTTTATTTTTTTTTATGACAGGTGTTCGGACCAGCTTAAGTGCACCTCAACTAATCCCAAGACCCAGGCAACGCTCCCCCTCCACGTAGATCGAGCAAATCTCAGGTAGAACCCGCAGGCCTGACTTCAATGAGTTGATAGCACCTAACGTGAGTTGAACCTAAGACCTGGAGGGAGCACACCCCCAGGCCCCAAGCTGCACCTGCTAGGCCAACCCCATAGGCTTAAACCAGTAGGTGAGTTATTGGATGAGCATTACTGAATATTCATTCACACGGTCAATTATGATGCTACAAACAAGAAGCTTATGTTATAACTCTAAAATGAGGCTTCTTTTCTTCCTTTCGGATGCAAAGGGTCATATGGTGCAATAACAACAAATCATTGATTTTTTCCCTTCAAGTATACTAAAATGTATCCTTCGTAACAGTGCAAATAATTTCCATATTAATACAAGACTTATTGAATATATCTATCAAGAGTTGCCTAAGAACTACATGGGTAGCATGCAAGTGTACATGAAAGAAAAAAAAAATATAAAAATAAAAAATAAAAAAAAAACCCTTCAAACATGAAAAATAGCAAATTAATGGAAGGATGTAAAAAATTAAGAAATTTGACCATTTTAACTTCTAAATAGTAATTGTAAGATAAATTGAGGGCCTATGAAGCACAAGTACGGGTACAAGTACTGGTACTGGTACGATTACGATACGGGTATGTTGATATGGTAAAATTCAAAAAAAAAAAAATAGAGTACGGGTACGAGTACGGCTTGGTACACTTGTAAAAAAATATTTATTTTTAATTTAGAGTAATGCAAAAATTAATTAAATGGTTTAATTTGTTAAGGTCTAAGCTACAATTAACATTTAATGTCAAAAGTAAAGATATAAATCAAAATTAAATGTCAATATATTAAATAACTTACAAATTATAGTTTAATTTTAAAATAATGCTAAGTATAAAACAAAAAATAAAAAAGAAGTCTAGTGAAATGAGTTTTGTCTCTGTAGAGAAGACAATATTGTTTCAACTGAAGAACGGTATGGCTTGGGTATATACTAGGTACGTCTATATATGCCAAAAATTAAGAAGAAAAAATATGGGTACGTGTTTTATGTATCCGATACGTATGCAGAAATACCATACAAGGTACCATATGCCAGTAAGTACCTGGTACAGGTATGACATGTTTTTCAAAGTACTCATGCTTCATAGTTGAGAGCAATAGCACCAAACTGGGAGAGGATTCATTGATCAATTCACAGGTATCAATTATATTCATCCCTAACAATTTTCTACTAACCAGTGACTAAAATGTACACATGCATCCAAGGACTAGAATACAAGGGAAACTGATCATCTACTTTCCTTATCCTCAATAATTACCACAAGCAATGGAAACCTTGTAAACCTCTGCTTGTATGACATATTAATCAGAAAGCTTATTTCCAAAACAAATTAGAAAATAAAACTTAAATGGTCTTCAATGTCAAATCAAACCACCCCAGAAAAAGAAAAAAAAATGGGCCAAAAAAGAATGAGAAGACAGACATGTTTTAAACTAGATTAGGCAACATAAAAACATGGAGTGAGCAACGTACCTTTGATTTCTTTGATCTGTCATCCTTCCCTTTCTTTAAGCTAATTATATTCTTAAACCAATCTCCAGAACCCATTACTGATTAAATTGCAGAATTTAACTTAATAAACCCCTGCAGAGAATTCATATGGCAGACAGGATCAGCATCAGGACTACGTGGATTGCAGAAAATTATTGAACAAAGTTGTAATACAGGTTCTGAGAATAACAATTAACGAACAAATCTGTATCATGCAATGATCAAGAAGGAAATGACAAGATTAATATATGAAATTTGAACACAAAAGACAACAATCAAACAGAAACAAACATCCAACCAAAATAAAACCAGAATATGTAAACTACAAACAGAATTCACCATTCATAATATGAAAACTTGAGCTTGGCAATCAATCTACAAGCCACATAAAGAATAATTAGTATCAAATGGATGATTTCCTTAACGCTGTTTTTGGTTGGGGGATTTGGGAAGGGATTTGAAAAGGGAAAAGGAAAAGATTTTACCTACATTTCACCTAATTTCACACACCTTTGCCGTTTCCCTTTCCAAATCCCTCTCCAAATCCCCCAACCAAACACAAGTAAAGACCACTGGCTACCCACAATATTTATCACTCTAGGTCTCAATAGCACATTTTTCTTTTTCTCTCACTTTCTTGGTCTTCTTTTTATCTATATATCAAGTTATTACAAATCATAACAAAGCCTTAAGTTGGATCATGGATTTGGGTAAAGATTTAGAAAGGAAAAGAGAAAAAGTAGGTGAAATATAGTTGTATTTTATTCACATTTCACCCATCTTTTCCCTTTCCCTTTCCCTTTCCAAATCCCTACTCAAATCCATGATCCAAACATAGCCAAAACTATTCATTGAAACTGTAAAATGATTGACTATGTGTTTCTGAAGTAGCCCCAAAAGCTGTTTTCTTTTAAGTTGTGTTTGGATCATGGATTTGGGTATGGATTTGGAAATGAAAAAGAAGGAATATGAAATGTAAATTCATTTTTTTCATTTCCAAATCCGTACCCAAATCCATGATCCAAACACAGCCGAAAAAAATCTTCTTTGACAAAAGCGATTGCAGGAAGTGCCTGTTCCATGCCCCAAAATTGAGATTTCTTTTATGTGACAATTAATTGATCGACTAGGTAATGATAGAAATTGGAAGTTTCACATGGGTCTAAGGGGAAACAATGGTTCTTCATGCACAAGAGAAACAAGGTGAATACAAAATTGAGTTCTAGTAAAATATTTAATAATTCAAATTTGGGAGTTTATAAAGAAAAAATGTAGGCAACACTTGCGTCAAAAAAGAGAGGCTGGAACTGAATTGGCAAGAATTAGTAGAAAGGTAAGCATGTCTATTTGAAAAATGAAAAGCCTGGAAAGCTGTGTAAGGGATTGCCTAACAATACAAACACTTCTTTGTTTATGATTGATCCTTAGCATATAGTTTCAAAAAAGAATAAAAGAAATACTCCATATCAGCCTCATAGTTGAGCATATTAGCAAGACATTTCTTTTCATATAAACTACTATTAGGTCCTAATAGTTGGACTTAATTCCCATCAAATCCTATTGAAAATAAGTCTTGATAAAATTGTCGCTAAAAATAAATTTTTTGTGACAATGTTTTATATATGTTGCTAAAAATTGACAATTAGTGACTTTTTTTTGTCATGATTTTTATAAATTGTCGCTAAAACTTACAATTAGTGAGATTTTTTTATGACAAATTTTTCTCATAGGACCTATTAGACAATAAGTCCACTTATTAGGACCTACACGTAAGTACCCCTAAATAAAGTTAACTCTATTTAGCATATTTAAATTGCTTGAAGTTGAACCAATTTAGTTAACTTGAAATCTACAGTTTTAAGTCAACTAATCAACCCACCCACATTAAGTTACTATTACTTTCCATTTGCTATCTTCCAGATCAATACAATACCACCATCACAAAAATAAATAAATAAATAAAAAGTGTGGTGGAGGTTTATTAATTCCTTTTTCGAAAATCAAAATTAATCAGGAGACTGAACTAGGAAGATGAATTGTTGAGTAACTCAATGAAATCAACAAGCAGTTAAAAACAGATAAATAAATGACCAAAGTAATGACAATAACAGCTCAACAAGGAAGAGAAATGGAATAACAGATTAAAGACAAAGGAAAGAAAATAAAATTGCTTATTCTATGAGACTGAACTTCACTGCAAACCAAGAGCACAGAAACCTTTAGGTGCCTGACCGCATATCACTCAGTTGTTCAAAATCAAGAGAGAGCTGTTTAACATTCAACTACTTATGGCCAATGATGATATTAACAAATTAAATTCAATTTTGAGACGATTACACAGAAAGAGGATGTAATTATTCAGCACCGAAAGTAATTTGAATTGAACTGAAATTAATTTGAAATGTAATGTTCCTGGTAATTGAAGCATAGTCTTTTATTCATAAGATAATAATTGAAACAGTCTTCTACAAATCTATTGAGCCTTAATGGAATATCAAGACATCAACATAATCAGCAGAGCAAAATATAAAACCAAAATTAGTCATATGCTGCATTTGTGTGACATGGAAAACACTCATCTTGAAAGCACTCAAATCAAAAGCTATGTGAAAAATAGTGTCTTCATTCAAATTCCGGGACATCCAAATGCATGACAACACAACTATAAGGGGTTTCAGTTTTTTATGGTACAGAAGATATGAATAACCATGATATATAACTCAAATGGATTAACTGGGAACATACTTCAGTTGCAGAATTGCTTAATCAAACCAAAGTGCCACAGTGACATTTTAATTAACAGTAACCCTGCAACTGTAGGAGAAAAAAAAAATTACCATAAATAAAAAGGAATTCAAAAACAAAGATTATACATATGCAATCAGACATTAGAAGAAAAAAATTTATATATATGTATATGCAATAACCACAGCTACATTATAATACCAACTACATTCACCTAACAAATATCAAAAAGGAGAGAAAAGTTCCTAATCAAATCAGTTTAAGAAGGTTATATTTTGTTAATGTCAACACCCAGATCTATCCTTTATCTTACAAGTTCTAATCAACCAATGGTTGACACCCAAGACACATATGGTCAACATGTAACAATAACAGTACACAGGGCATAAACAACAAAAAACAAGAAATCGGTCAGAAGATCATACCAAGGAAGAACCTGCACATGGGTTTTCTAGGGAACCCTTCAGGGGCAAATGGGTATCTCCAAATATTGAAGAAGAGAGAGAAACAAGGAGGTGGAGGAGAGATAGAAGATGGCAATAGTAGTAGGAGTACGAGTGAAAGAGAAGAAATACTTGAAGAACCTGAGAGGGAAAAGAACAAAAGGTGGGTGTGGACATTGGGAATGGCCCCCATCAGTGTCCCACCAGCCCCCTTTTTTCTTTTCTTTTGTTCTTTTTTTCTCAAAAGGATTTGAGCAATAAAATATTTCTCTCTCCTATTCCCCCAATCAAAGCCTCAACCTAATTCCAACTCATTCAACAAATGAGCTCTACAGAGACAGCAGAACAAACAATGACAAGGTTTGATGGTGATGCCTTTCCCTCTCTCATATTATTAAGTCACAAGCACAAATACTAAACATAATATATGCATATGTATACTCATAATTATTCCCATTTTGCTGATTATATTAGCTCAAATGATGATTGTAGCTGTAATTATAACAAGGGTCATGACAGCCTATAGACTATCAATAAAGGCAAGGAAATATTCACACACACACACACACACACACAAATTACATTTCGTATAATTAATTAGGTTACTTTGATGTTTTAATTCAATTATTTTTAATTATAGTTCCCTTAATGAAAAATGATACTTTCAATATATATTTTATATATATATATATATATTTACATTGAAGTATGTATTTCTTCGTGTTTACACACTATTTGCATTAGTTCAATTCTTTCTAGCTTTAGCTAAATAGAGAGATCAATATAATTATATAAAACTTACGAGGCTTTATATTTTTTAATTTTTTCTAAGGGGTGATCAGTATAAGGGTTAATTATAACAAGATCCTTTTAATTATTAACAAATATCACTTTTATCTCATTCATTTATGAACCCGTATAAACTCACTTCCTCAACTATAAAAGTCATACAAATACACTATTTTTTAAGAGTTCTGAAGGGTGAAATTAATATATTTTTATAATTGAAGAGTTAAAAATATACCAGTTCATAAATAAAGAAATAAGTTGATATTCGCTAATAGTTTAGGGATTTTGGTGTGATTAACTTTAAATTTTACTTTAAAAAAGTTGCAAAACTATAGATATTTTTACAAATTCTAAGCAATAAGTTGATATTCGCTAATAATTGAGGGATTTTGGTGTAATTAACCCTTAATTTCACTTTAAGAAAGTTGCAAAACTGTAGGAATTTTTACAAATTCAAAATTATTTTCACATATATTATATGTTTTTTACTTATTTTAATACACGTTTATCGAAATTAATAAATAATCAGTGCTTTGATTATAATAATGTTGTTTTGACAGAAACAGAATGGAAAAATCATTTGCGTTTGTTGGGAGTGGTCAGAGCTGGGGACGGTAGTTTAGCGATCACCATTTTAAAATTGACACGCATTTTTTTTAGCCATTGGTAAAGAGTAGAATGGGTCAGCGGTGTATTTGGCACTCCATAAAGAGTAATGTTAGAAAGAGATATGTTAGGTTAGAAATTTCAAATAATTTATTAAATTTTTATTAAATTTCTTACATAGGCGTGAGACTCACACATATGTAGATTTGTATGGATCTCACGTCTACTTGAAAAGTTTGGTAAATTATTTGGGATGTATAGCATTTTTCATGCTAGAAATTCTATAAAGCCCCTATAAGACATTTAATAAAAAATTTATTAAATGAATTATAGGTGCTTGGGACTCACACTATGTGGGTCTCATATGAGTCCTACACCTATATGAGATATTTGATAGAAATTTTAGAAGAATTTTTAGAATTTTTAATATTTTTGCTCCATAAAATAAATAAATAAAATGAAAGTGGTAAAGGTTGTAAATGAATGGAGTTGAATTAAGTGCTTAGTTATTTAAATTTAACTTATTTATTTTATTAAGTTTAAAATGGTTCAAAATTAATTTTTAATGAGTTTTTAGTTATTAAACTCATAATGAGTAGAGTTTTAATAGTTTGACTTTTAGTAGAATAGAGTTTATTTGGCATATCTTAAATGCACTTATTTAGGTCATAACACTTCTTTATTTTTTATACATTTATTATAAAATATTAAAAAATACATTTATTTAGATCATTACAAATAATTTCAAAAATGAAATCAAACATATTTTCTAGCATGGTATTTGAATCTAGGAGCTTGACAAGTGAATCAAATGCTTGTGAATCTCCAACTAAACTTTTCAAAGCGATGAAGTGATACTGCCGTATGTGTATCACTCTCACAAATTACAATACAAAAGTTTATGTTATAATGACAGAGATTAAAAAGAGAGTTGGTAGAAATATTTCGATAACTATCCAACTTTTTATATACATCTAATATATCTTATGTATTAATAGTTGTAATTACCCACATCTTCTTATAAGATGAGACAAAATGACTTAAATATAAATTACACGATCTCCAAATGAAGTCTTGGATCATGTCACCATAAAAGTCCAAATCTCGATCTTGGCCTTGACCTAGTTTTCCAACACTTCTATAATATATACACTTACTAAACCGACTAATAACTTGTTTAATTTTAACTTAAAATTTTAATAAATTTTAAAATGTGTTCAAGTTTGATTTATATCTAACAAGCCAATTTTTTAAAAAAAAATTAAATAAATAACGAATTGAACTCTTGCGACTTGATTTGTTTTAAAACCTTAACTGAAAAGGCTACATTAGGCCCCGCTTAGAAATTGATTATCTTAGTTAATTTTTTTATAAAAGGACATAAAAAAATAAATAAAAATTAAGAGAATAATGTGATAATTTGTAATATTTTTTTACTAAAAATACAACTCCCAATAAAAAATTAAAAAAAGTTTGTTAAAGATATAACGATCTTAAGTTCAACCAATTAAAATGTTATTTCAACTTAACTTATCAATATAAAAACAAGTCAATTTTATATCATTTTTTAACGAATTGAACATAAATTGATATATATGCCTATTTAACAGGGTAGTAAACTATTTAAATTTAATTTAAAAAACTTAATAAATATATTTTTTAAAGAGCCAAACACCAAAACATAAACCAAATAAAGTACAAAGATATGGTCCCGGCGGGGCTCGAACCCGCGACCTTCGGCTCATAAGACCAACGCTCTAACCAAGCTGAGCTACGGGACCTACCCGTACAAACTTTTTCAATTTTATTAATAAAAACCTGATAGTTATGTATTGAAATTATTAAATAAATAAAAAAAACTAGGTTAATTTATAATTTGGATAAATTACAAATACACCCCTAAGATTTGCTTAAAGTACAGATTGTCCCCTTATGGTTTGAAAAATTACAAATATCCCCTCGTTAAAATTTTTTATTTAATAGAATTAATTAAAAAAATAAAATTCATAATTACTCCCCTATACAAGAATAAAATTACCTAAATTATTAATTGAAACATATTTATAAATTATTAATTGACTTGAGGATTTATTAATAAAAGAGGCGATTTGCTATGAAATTAAAAATCTCCAGCGGTGGAATGTAATTTTCAGAACTACAGAGAGCGATCTATATTTTAATCAAACCTCAAGGGATGTATTTGTAGTTTACCATTCAATTTTTATCTCCTAAAATATTTCTATTTTTTTAAAATTCATTCCTAAACTATAGGGGTGTAATAATAGCCCGGCCCATGGCGGGCCTCACGAACTTTTGCCAAAATTTGGGCTAGCCCACAAATTAGAAAATTAGGCCCAGGCCTAGGAGGTATTCAGGCCTCGTTTGGGAAGGCTCTGTTTTAGCCAAAAAGTCAAAAAGTTACTAAATTAGCCAATTAGCCAATTAGTCATACCAAAATTTGTAGTTTACCATTCAATTTTTATCTCCTAAAATATTTCTATTTTTTTAAAATTCATTCCTAAACTATAGGGGTGTAATAATAGCCCGGCTCATGGCGGGCCTCACGAACTTTTGCCAAAATTTGGGCTAGCCCACAAATTAGAAAATTAGGCCCAGGCCTAGGAGGTATTCAACCTTGGGCCTTGCCTGAGCAATTTTTTTTAATTTTTTTCACCAAAATTTTATTATTTTTCACTAAAAATGACACTAAGCCTTGGGTCGGGCTTTGAGTGGGCCAATGGACTGGGCTTATAGGTCGGGTCGGACTTCAGAATGATGGCCCAAAGTCCTGGGTTGGGCTCAAGCCCGGACCTAATTGGACCTAACCAAGCGGGGCCACGGATAGACTTCAGGTCGCAGGACATTTTTACACCGCTTCTAAACTATAAATTTCATATATTTAATTCTTAAAGGTTCTAATTTTTTTCATGTGATCTAATTGAAGATGATTATACTAAGCCTAATTTAATGGGGGAAAAAATTATTTCAAAAATTCAACAATTTAAATTATACAATAAAATACCCCGTTTTTATTATTATTTTGAATAAACTGCACCCACAACTAATTTCATGGGTGTTTGTTTTCATGATTATTTAAATTGTTTGAATTATGAGATTTTCTTCTTATCCATCAAATTACAATTTATTGTAAACTATTAATACGTTTTAATAGTTAGACTTAATTCTCATCAAGCCCTATTAAAAATAAATCCTAATAAAATAGTCGTTAAAAATATTTTTTTATAACGATTTTTTACATATGTTGCTGAAAATTGACAATTAATAACTTTCTTTTTGTCACGATTTTTATAAATTGTCACTAAAACTTACGATTGGTGACGTTTGATGAATTTTCCAAATTGTCGCTGAAAATTGAAAATTAGTAACTTTTTTATGACGATTTTTTTAAATTGTCGTTAAAACTTATAATTAGTAGCATTTTTGTGACAAAATCTTCAAACTGTCGCTTAAAATTAACAATTAGTAACGTTTTTTAATAATATTTTATAAAAAAATGTCATTAATTATCGGCATATCTATTAAATGATAAATGTACCTATTAAGACTTACATGTAAGTCCCTCAATTTAATGATTATTAATTTGTATAACCAACTTCAATTAGATCACATAGACAGAAGTTAAGATTTTAAGAACTAAATAGACTTTACTCAAAAGTTTTTTAATTTTTTATTTTAAGATTGATTAGGGGCAAAACAAAGAACATCACCTAGCCCCATCTACCATAACAAAATTCAAAAGTGGTGTT